TGCTGCTGTCGATAAAGCAGGTTGTGAAGTTGTTGTCCAGAAAGTTGCTTTATACATTTGCTGTACGTAAATTAATAAATTTTGTTTGGGTAGTATAACTGCCGAGCTGCTGTGTTGCTGATGTATAACAACAAATTACCTTGATACCCTTCTATATATTAGCATGATTTTTTTTTATTAAATATAAATGAACTCTTAATTTTTTTTAAAACTAAATAATTTATGAATTTTAAATATAAATGAACTCTTAATTTTTTAAAACAATGTAATATCATATTTTAAAATAAACTAAGAAAATATTTAATTTTTTAAAACAATGCAAACAAGCAGGATAGAGGAATCTCCTACAGCAAGAGATCATTCAAAGTCCGAGAACTAACACATCATCCTCGTTGTTCGCAAGCCATTTCTTTTGTCTTAAAAACAACTTACTGATCATATAATAAGCATTTAATCAAAAAAAAAAAGGATTTGGGTGATCAACAATTCCAAGAAACTTTACTTCAGCAAGCCATTTCTTTTGTCCCTGTAAACCATACTGGTTGAACATCTTAACAGCCACTGTAATCCTATCTATGACATCTAGCAAGAAAAATTGAGATCCTAACTACAGAAGAGGAGAGAATAAGGGAGAAGAAGAAGGAGAAGAAGAAGAAAGGGGAAAGAAGAAGAGAAGAGAGAAGAGGAGAAGGAAGAAGAGAGTATGCGGTTACCTTGTGTGAGAGAGAGAGAGTTGACAGGCAGAGGGAATTTTGTGGTGTCCTGGTACAGTTCGAACGGATGAGAGGCAGAGGCGTGGCTTCCGTCTGGGTCAGCCGTGAGAGAGAGGAGAAACGATGGCTTCGTGGGGTGTGTGCAGATGGAAAAAGCGGAAGAGGGATCCCGACTGAAAAGAAGAAGGTTAATTTCGACTTTCTAGCATATCAGAACAGCGGAAAGCGGCGGGACCGCGGGAGGTATTTTGCTTCGCAAAAAATAGGCTGCCACCGTAAAAATTTTTAGACTTCCGGTCCAACGCAGTGCCTCAAACAACAGGGGGCGCGCGTTTTAAGCCGTGAAGCAGCCCAGACGTCGTCCCAAACGTAGCCTTAGGGTTAATTTTGCATGGATTTAAAATTAAAAATCGATAAAATTTGCTTAAAGGCAAATTACTAAATAGCCCATCATTTTCTCAACCACCCAAATAGCTTAAGGGACCGAAACTTTCAGTCCCTTCTTCACTTTGTTCGGCCGAACGAAGGAGAAAGTTAACTAGAAGGGAGAGGCGCGGGCAAGGGCTTCGGGCAGCGGTAGTGGGCGGCTTCTGGCGGCTTTTTTTGGGGGAAATAGAAGGGAAAGTTTTAGAAAAGCTTTAGGTATGTTCCTAAGCTAGAAATTTTTTCTTATCGCTTAGATTTTCATATGTTGAAAACTTAAGGTTTTCCAAATTTTTACAATTTTAAAAGGAGAACGTTTAGGGAAGCTTAATGGTGAATATTAAACCTTTATTTTTTTTTCTTCTAAAAATGTTCAGAGTTCCAAAATTAGGGCTTTTTCAAAAATTTGATTTCTTTGAGGATGCATTAACAAATGCTATTCCTAATAACCCTAGGAATATTTTTAAAGGTAAAAATTAGGATTTTTCACATTTTTATATTTTTACTAATTTTTAATTAAAAAATCCGAAAATAATTATGCCCTAAGTGTTAATTAGATAAAGAGAAGGTTTTAGCATGAATACGTGATGAAAATAATGAGAATTAAGTTTTCAAATTTGGGATTTTAGGGAAAAACTGATAATTAAAGTTATTTTAATTTAAATTAGGTCATTGTAAAGGGTTAAAAAGGGTAAACCATGGGATTAGACCAAATTTTGAACTTTAAAAATTCAGGATAATGATATTAAAATGCTAATTTAATGAAAATGAGTTAATATTGGGTAATAGAAGTTATAGTCTTTTAGGTGTTGGAAATGGGAGAGGAAAGATGCCCAAAAGATAAACGACGATTTGCGCCCGAGCTTGTTTGCTTATACTTGAGGTAGGTAAATATAATTCTTTTAAATTCAGAATTTACTGCTTCTTTTAATTTTTATTTAAAAGTGACATATACTCATTGTTATTTAGTTTAGTAATAATATGTTTCTTCCTTAAATGTAATGTACTTTGGAAACATGTGATGGATAGTTTAGAATGCAAATATTTTTCTTTTAAAATGTCTACATATAGAAATGCATGAAAACTTACATTAGATAGGGGTATATGCTCGATTGGAATGTTAAAAATCCTCCTACAATAATTATATTGTATGATTGCATGTGTATGTTGGCACGAAGTATCAATATGGTAGAGGAAATGGTAAAGGAAAATAGTAAAGAAAAAATGATAAATGAAAAATATGGCTCCTCAGAGCAGAAATGACTAATTGAATGTGTACCTGATAAGTACAAATTTGATAATCCGTTACGGGTGTATAAGATATAAATATGTTATATGCAAAAAAGTATTATATGCATAAAGAGTATGAAAGGAATATGAAAAATGTGAAATGTAAAATGTTACAGACATATGAAAAATAAAACGATCATATAGAATGACATACAAACTTAAGCACATCAGTTACTACTGCATGACACATTTATTGTTTGTTTCATTAGTTTATTACTGCATTGTACCATGAAATTAACATGCATAATATGTCTTATTACCTTATTTTTTTGAAATTGATAGAATAGCATGTTACCTACTGAGCTTTAGCTCACCCTAGTTGTGGTATGTTTTTCAGAAGAGTCTGCTAATCTATGATAGCTGTCAGATACTCGTTCACTCATCATTGTAGGGAATCACAAGGAGAGGTTCTTTTTATTGTTTTTGATGTCATGTAGTAGAATGACATATACTTTTTGTAGTAGAATTACATGTACTTATTTATTGATGAAATAAAATGATGTTTTGAGTTAGTGACTCTTCTTACTTTTGTTTGGAAAGTTTTTATAATATGTTAAATTGAAATGTTTTAAATTTTCCGTACAATCATCTATTTCCCGCCTCGTTAATTCGAGCTTATCGAGCTGGGTCGTGATACCTACTCTTTTATCTGCCTACAAAATTACAATTGTGTTCCCCAATGCTACTCGTCGTAGGGAATCACAAGGAGACAGGTTCTTTTTTATTGTTTTTGATGTCATGTAGTAGAATGACATATACTTTCTGTAGTAGAATTACATGCACTTATTTATCTATGAAATAAAATGATGTTTTAAGTTAGTGACTCTTCTTACTTTTGTTTGGATAGTTTTTATAATATGTTAAATTGAAATGTTTTAAATTTTCCATACGATCATCTGTTTCCCGCCTCGTTAATTCGAGCTTATCGAACTGGGTCGTGACACCTAATCTTTTATCTGCCTACAAAATTACAATTGTGTTCCCCAATGCTACTCATGATTGTTTTGATATGGAGGTGCTTGATGATTTAAGCTTTGTTCATCCTTAAGATTTTATTAGAAGGCTTTCTGGATTAATGGATAGAATATTTCAACACTGTTTTTCCGAGAAGGCATAAATAAAAAAATAAATAAATACTTTTCTTCATTCTATCAAATTTAATAGATTTAAATCAAGATGAAATATCTCTCTTAATAGCTTTGACATTCTTGACTTAGGTGTCTAAATGTGGGCTTGCTTCTCTCTTCTTGGATGCTAGTATCCCTGAACTTCAAGTTATCTTGGTCCACAATATTTTTTTTACTTTGCTTTTTTGTTTGCGATTCTTTGTAACTACTTCAAGTCACCGTTTCACTAAGTAGTGATGAAGTTTTGTTGCCATAAAAAATCAAGAATTGAAATTAATTTTCCCTTAATTCCCTCCCAATGCTCCAAACTGGCAGCTGCTTTTCTCTCTCCGCTTGATCTTCCTTTCTTGCAAGAGTTTGTTTCAATATAAGAAAGAAGAAAGCATCAAACATAAGATCTCTACCACTTAAACATCCTCCTAGTCAAGTAGAAGAGAATTATTTAAAAAAAACTCACTAAGAGGAACTGATATGATCAAGATAAATGCATATTTCACAGCATTGAAAGTAAATGAATTCTAAATATTATAGGTACACCCACAAATTCTATGAGGGGCATTTTTGTAAAAACTCCATCTTCATCCCTCCTCATTTATAAATTAGCATATTGCAACAATACTTCCCATCAACACAATAGTTGTCCCTTCTCTCTTGGCATTGGCCTAGTTTACGCCCTTTACTGACTCATCATCTTCACTATTCTTAGCATGTCGTCGTCTATTGTTGCCGCTCATTTACTTCGTTCATGCCCTAATTGTCAGAGTAAAAACAACCCCCTCCAGTAGGATTAAATTAAGTAAAGACTAATGTGACTAACATACAACACTATAATCTAGTTCACTTGATTCAACTTAATATGTTCTTTCAGCCATAGCTATATCTTCGATTATCTGGTCAACACCTAAAGATGAGCATCCATCATCTCATTCATTAGGCAAGAATATTGAGGATCACATGATGACATTTTGACTCGTTGATTTAGGGAGAAATAAGTCATTCAAAATCCTTACATGTATTCTAAAAATTTCACAAAGACTTCAATGGTCATTAGATCATTTTTTGAATAATAGATAATTCGAGAAAGCCAACGGGCTACATTAACTAATAACTCACCGACCTACTTATCAAGAAAAGTGTGTCACAATAATGCACATTAGATTATTTTCTTCAATAACTATTTCAAGTAATCTTATGCTGATCCAACCTCACTCAAAAAAAGAGGTAAAGGAATCATACTTCACTGATTCTGGATCACCACTTCTTTAGCTCCTAGTGTCATTTGTAAGATGACCCTATTATGACTCACAGGTCCGAGGGGGCCTCCTAAGTATACTCGAGGGAAATACTCACCTTTCTTTATTGCTGGAATAGTCTCCAATTAGAGACAATTTCAAGCGAGAAACAAGGATGGGCTGTTTAAATGTTAAGTAGATGGTCTTGAATTCTAAACAAAATTATTAGCTTAAATGAATGTCAAGTTTATCCAAACGAACCTTGAGAATCCACCAGAACCAGCTCCCACAGTGCGTGCTATAATGCCAGTATCAATGCAAAGTACCTGTGGATTATCTTTGGGAATGAATATCTTGCGTTCAAGCACTAATCCACCACCAATATCTCCTTCCAGGGAAAGAGCTTCCTCTTCTCCAGATTGCTCAAGTTTCCTCCTGATTAGTTTACAATATTTTCAGACTTAAGAAAGAAAATAATTAGATAGAGAAATGGTAAATGCGGAAAAAAAAAAATTTTTGCACAGTTGTAAATATTGATGGCATAGCTCACCATATTACATCCTGTTACTCAAAAATCAATAAACATCAATGGCATTCCTAATGAGAAATGATGAGTATGCGACCTTACCCAGTAACTTTGTATTCCTCAGAACATCCAGCAGATCTGTATTCAACGCCACTATACTCCTCATATCCATCAACTTCAACCCTACTGTGAAGCCACTGGGTTGCTGAAACATGAGATCCAAGCAATTAAGATTGCAATGACTAATTCTAGGTTGAATGAGAGTATATATCAGATATTTTATCGGTAAAATTTCCACAGAAAAATTTCCTTTATCTCTCCATGTACAAGTTTATGAATCAGAGTTCGGATTTCTATAAATGCAAGGTTGTCAAAATATCACTTTTCTACAAATTTAGGCCTCCAAATCATTAGCTAAAACAGCTATGGGTACTGATTGCTGGCTTACATTTTTAAGTTCCCATATGTAGGGATAGAGATAGTAATAAAAAAATCTTCACATGAAATTCCATTTTTTTTTCCTCAAAATTTGACATGTGATATTCATCTAAACTGCAGCCCATCTTAGCATAAGAAAATTTTAAAACGCTCATGTATGATGTTTAATAACCCACCAATCATTCATTCAGATACAAGAGAATGACTGATCATTTACATAAGATAGCACACAATATTGATGTTGGGTAAAACAAAATAAATAAATAAAATACCATATAATCCAAATGAGGGATACTTTAATTGCATAACCAATGAGCTTCTAACATTGCAAAAATTTGGTCAAGGAATAACATTTCTGTTGGTTTTGTTTGAATATTTAAAAGGATAAAAAACAAAAAATAAAGAATGCGGAGGGTAAAGGAGCCAGTAATAGGATCTATTTCACCGTTAGCATATTTAATAGTTAGTAATATATTGGCTTATTATGTAGGTTTTTGATAGGAAATACTTGAGTTTGCAAGTAATCTTATCGGATCTACTAGAGTTTGCAAGCAAACCTGACCAAAATTCAGTAAAACAGCAAGAAAAACATAGAAAATGTCGTGGAAGAACAATCACACAATAGCAATGTCTTATAGAAAGCAAAGGGAAATAAACATAAAGCAATATAAAAGAGATCCTCAATTCGAGAGGAGGATCGTCTCTCCCAAATCTCTAGACAAGAGAGTCTATAGCCCAAACACCAAGAACCCTAATTTTCAATCAATCAAAAAATAAAATTCCCCTAATCCCTCTCATGCACTTTAATACAAAAGCTTTCCTAATCTTAATTTCCCTCTCAAAGCACTAGCCGGCCCCCCCCCCCCCCCCCCCCCCCCTCAATTTGAATTCACTTAGATGGGTGGGACCCATCTTTTGGGCGGAACAAGAGAGGAAGCGAACTGTTTCCACCTCTTGTAGGTTTGTTGAGCTGGCCCGTTGGCCGGTTCTGTTTGAACCGGCATAATCGTTTTTTAATAATGGAAGGAGATTATATTTGGGAGATATACTCATAATTCAAAATATAATTTTTTAATATTTACTCCATTATTGTATTCTCCTATATGCCTGTTTAAAGACCCTCATACAAGCTAATAAAACACAAATATTTCCTCTCAACATTGTATCAGAGAACAGAAACCTTGGCTGCCCTCCCAATTGATCCCGCTGACTATAGAACCATTCTACCCTGGTCTAACTCTAGATCCCTCAGCACGCAATTACTATAACTGCAAGGTTGTCAAAACATCTTCAATATTAATCAACTACTCTGGAAGTTCCTCTACTCTCTACTATATATTTGGTGAAGACAGATAATGATGATTCACAGCATTCCCTTGATTCTAATGGGGGTATTTTGATTGATAACTCATTGGTGAATAGGAGATTTCAGATCTTATTTATCAGATGAGGCCAAAATAAGAAGAAAAAAAACATTGCCATTCAGCTATTTTCACTAGGCTTCAAGAAAGGCCCATTGAGTTGTTTCATATTTTGATGAATGTTTGTGTTCCATATTATCTTTTTATTTTATACTATGCATTTCTCTTTTTTTATTTAGAGCAAATCTAGTTATTTGTCCTAATTGTAGATTTATCACTATTTAGTTATAAAATTATAATTTTTTTTAAAGAAGGGAAAAGCTTTTTAGTAAAGAATCCTATTGAGGCACGGGTTTTAAGTTATCAATCAGATTGAGAAAAGCACTTTCAAGTTGCAAGTTAGCAACATTATAACTATTATTACATAAAATAGATTAGCATGAAGTTAGTTGTTACCTGACGGAAGATGTATCATGGAGATCATCCGACCACCAATCCAGGGGACCACTTTAAGCTGCCAGTCCCTACTCTTGATATCCACAGGTGCCTTTGATAGTTCAATTCCCTTTTGCCCAGAGAGATCATCAGCATCTGGAAGAAGCTTTGCATCATCTGCACCATATGATTGTACCCAATTGACGTGAAAAACACATAATCCTAACAGCTCAATCGTACAGATAAAGTTGAAATAAGCGACTTCATTAAAACATCCATAATAATTGCTTTTTATCCAGTTTGTCAACAGCCAATCCCATTCAAGGAAAAAATCATACCAAAGGTACAAAGAAAGAATACCATTCTTGATATGTAAGAGCTTTTTACCATGGTAATAAATGAAATTGTAATCGTTCAAGAGTATATGGCAGTAGTTAGTTAATAGTTCCTTTGGAGTGTAATCAAGTTTCAAAATACAAAAAAATACAGTTCTGGAAACTGCTTGAATAAACATGCCTAGTTTTTCTCTGTACTTGATTTCACTTGCAGATTGCAATTTAGATACTTCAGATTCTGAAGGCATCGTGATGTGCACTTCCTCACCATCAATTCCTAGTCCATCAATCTTCATTCAACAAAAGTATTTGTCATGATAGCTAAGAAACATTTTGCAACACAAGCAAGAAATTAATATAACTAAAAAAATTGTGTACCATCGCTCCTTCCCCAAGCAAGATAAACACATGTAAACTACGATTAGGCCTCTTCCATGATCCTTCAGTTTGGGATACTCTAACTGTAACTGTCGAAGATTTCAATTCTGCAGCATAGTACGTAAGGAGATAGGCTCCCTGTGTGTACCCATATCCATCACCATCGTCCTCAAACAGAACACCTTCAGCCTTACCTGGGAAAAAAGAAAATTCTTTCATATCACAGCCAAATATGCTACATCACCAAGTAAAGCTCTTCTAATGCAGCCTTCTCAAAGCCTACATTGTCATCGGAAACATGAAATATTTGTGTTGCATCAATGTTTGCACTTTGATTGTATTTTGGTTGGATAAGGATGTTAGATTCCAATTTTATATTTGAGTAAATATTCAAATAGATTGTTAATGTGAGTAAAATGTACTTATATATGTAATTAGGTTTAACATTTTTGTGGCCAAACATTATGGTACTTTTATACTATTCTCTTATCAATATATATTTGATTAAACATCCTATGTAAGTAAATAAGCAAGAATTAACTCACAATTCATCAAGATAAAAATAAGGCTTTATGCAAAGTACCAGAGTTTGAGAAATGTTACAATTATCCTCCTATTAAAGCTACTACATCGTTGATTAGTATTTCTAAAAAATCATCATCCCATCTAAAGCATTCTAAACACAAACCAACATTAGAATCTTGCATGGATAAATCAAATTTTATGAAAAAAAAATTGTAGTTCACGAATATTCTTTGAATATTAAATTAGAAGACGAATTTGCATTTGTTAAATATGATTCAACGTCATATTGCATACTAGAATATATACATGAACTTATACTTACAATTGAGAAAGAGTTAAAACTTGAATTGAAAAATAAAAATAAGATTATATCTTGACAAAATTATGATTAAAAATGAATCTATCTATGTTTTTAAGGCATAAAAGATCATAAATAAAATATCACTCATGCTGAAGTTGATAAATCAATCGAGTAATCTGAAAATATAATTCACGATTAAATATCTACTGAAATTATCTTTGGATAGAAATAAAATAGAAGTCAATTTAATTTTGATTTCTTTCTCTTATTCTATACATTCATTTTGCTTTATTGTATGCTTTTTGCTTATGATATTCTTCTTGTTGATAAGACTAGAGAGAGTTG